TGCATCCTGGAGATTGCAAAATCAATCTGGCTATGCCCTCCCACGCCGGCTGAAAGGAAGGTGCATGCACGCTGACCTTGGGGACCCCACGAGTTAAGAACCACTAACTGCTGTTGAACTATGATGTCCTGTAGGGCCTGTTGGTCCGTGGCATGCGTGGCAGTCCTGCGGTACACTCCTCGACCTATGTGTGAACCCTCTGGGTGAACATCTGTGTTGAGGTCTGCAAGCAATAACAGCTGGTTGCGCTTAGGCAGAGAGCCTAGACAGGTAGTCAGGGCTGCCCAGTATTCAGCTCGGCGTGACAGCAGGGCTTCATGCGACTGTGACTTGGAGGCTCCCGTTTTGTGGGCCTGCCAGGCGTGCTGATAGCCTAGGATGACGTCGATCGACGGCTCAGCCTCCAGCCTAACACGCAACAAGCGTCCCGGTAGTATCTCGCGGTGCTGAACGTTGGCCGAGGGAAAAGTATGCTTATCCACTAACAACAGAAGCCCAGATTCGGATTTAGTACTCCCAGAGTGAACAGCATGAAAACGGGACGTGGTGTATTCCAATGGGCCTTGCCAGTGGGTCTCCTGGATCGCAACAAGTTGGGTCCTACTTCCGTCGGGGCTATCTAGCCATGCCTTCAGCTCCGCATGCCTGGCCGAATGCAGACCACCCGAGTTCCAGGACAGGTAGGTCAACCGCCGTCGGCTCTGCTGCGCGGGAGTCTTGGGATGGACTGATTTAGTCGGAGGATCATATTGAACTCCTAGGGCTTCGGGTTTGTACCATCTACCTTGGTACTTAGCGGTTCCGTGCAGTTTGGCGCGATTTTGCGCTCTGATAAAGGCTCTCTTGCGACTGGCGACTAGTGACTGTGGTACAGGGCTAAAAACACCGTTTGGGTTTGCTCTGGAAAGAGGCTTACTGGGGCTAATCGGTGTAGCTCCAAGGAGTTCCTGGTGTGGATGGCTCCTAACCCTCGCGTCAACAGACCGAACTCCAGTGGTGTTCACGGGAAAAGTGCTACAAAGCAAACACCGTACAGCGGTGGCAATGTGTTTATTCGGTCTGTACCTGGACTTGGGACCAGGTCGGCCTCGGTTTTGGGGGGGCGGTTTCGTGGGTTCGGGCTTTGCCTGCAGATGCACATCCGCTGTACAATGGTCTGTTGAGCTACCTGGCGACACAGGCACAAAGCCGAGCAACGCAAGCTTTCCGAGTTGAGGTGGCTCTCCTGCCTCGTCGTCGTGGGAGTCTTTTCGGCAGTGTTGGTCGATGTCGTGCCACTCTCATCTGTAGGCCGGGGTCAAGGCGTAGGTGGGCGATGCCTCGGTGGATCTGAAGATCCCGAAGCCAATTCGGGACCATCGGTTTGTTGCTGCATGTAGTCGCGGTACCATTTCTGCAGTTCTCGTCTCCCTTGCCCGCCAAGGGCAGGCAGCAGAGCATTGATGGATGCTTTGTAGAGCATCCCTGCAGTTTGTTCCACCAAGAAGGGAGCCAGGTGGTCCGCGGCGGATGGCTCAAGGTGCTCATGCAGATTTCGTCGGGCCAGTACAGCCATCTGTTGCAACACCAAGGTCTGAGGCGGTGCCCCGCTCTCGCCAACGTACTCCAGCCATTCTCGGTCATTGAACGGGATGCCCTGATCGTAAAGGGCCCCCAGCGCGCTGTAGTCCTGGTCGAGCTTGTCCGCGAGGTCCTCGTCAATCTGCGTGAAGACGTTCGTGTAGATGTCCCCGTGCTCCACGTATTGTAATCTTCTGCGTTGTCCTTGTAGGCGTGCGCTGGCTGTCCTGCGGTCACCGACCTGTTGCCGATAGTGTAGGGCCAGGTAGTGAAAACAGAGCTCTGCCAGACCGCGACAGGCCACGTGGGAGAGGCGCTTGTCCAGTTCAGCCTGGGCTTGGGCTCGGGCTGCATTGGCTCGCTCCTGTTCCGCCTGTTGCCGTTGTTCCAGTAGGTGGAGTTGGTCCACGGTTGATCCACCAGCCTTTGATCCGGAAGCTGGCTCAGCCTCGCACATATCCACGTCAGAGGAAGCAGCAGGGCTAAACACATCGCTGCTGTAAGAGTCATTCGAAGAGTCAGGTTGCGAGCGTGGCATCCCCGGCCCGAAGGCCCCAAATCGCGGGACACCGCGCTTTCCCCTTCAGCTTTCCGCTGGGAATCTCCGGTCTGCTCTCGCAGTTGCAGTCCGCTGCAGCTGGCTTGAAATCAACGCCCCCGTGCTAATCAATCGCAAAGTCTCGGGCCGAGACGCTTACTACTACTAGTACTTCTACTACTACTACTACTACTACTACTACTACTACTACTACTACTACTACTACTACTACTACTACTACTACTACTACTACTACTACTACTGTACTACTGTACTACTACTACTACTACGACATATGCTATCGACGTTTAGGGCAACGCCGAAAAGGCTAGCACGAGACGACGGATACCCTTCTTTTGTATGGGAAGAAAGCGCATCGCGCCGGGTCCGTCGCCTCCGCCCAAAACTAGGCTGGCCGGCGCCGGGGAAGCTTTGAGCTACCCGACGCGCCGCCAGTGGGCTGGGGACGACCCTCAAGTCTTTCAGCAAACGGCTTCGCCGATACTGGGGAGGCCTCCTCCCCACTCCCAACACGAGGGTGGTAGAGGGTGGGCCGAAAAAGCGACGTCGAGCCGGAGCAGCTGCCGGCACGACGAGTCGCTAATGTCCACGCGCACACACGTGTGCTACACGACATATGCTATCGACGTTTAGGGCAACGCCGAAAAGGCTAGCACGAGACGACGGATACCCTTCTTTTGTATGGGAAGAAAGCGCATCGCGCCGGGTCCGTCGCCTCCGCCCAAAACTAGGCTGGCCGGCGCCGGGGAAGCTTTGAGCTACCCGCCCGGCGCTCCCCACCCCCACACAGCGCCGGCACAGCCGAACTATAGGAAAACTCAAATAGCACAAGTTCTCAGCTCCGCCGCCGCACCCTGAATGGCGAACTCAAGGTCGCCAGCGGTCTTCGCCAGGATGGCGCAGATTCTGGCCGCCGGTGTGCGTACTCTGGTCCAGCCCATCGCCTCGGCCGTGGCCAGGTCGCCGCGGGACACCGCATCCGCCACATTGGCCTTGGAAGGTACCCGCCGGAAATCGGGCAGTTCATCTCCGCTGCTTGGGACCAGAACGCCGCCAGGACGCCGTTGACCGCGGGGTCCCTACCGTAGCCCTTGGTCAGGGCCCACTGGCCGGCGACGTTGTCAATGAACGCCAGTCCGGCAACCGCCGCGCCAGCGTTGTCAACGCCAGGACCTGGGCGACAATCTCCAGCACATAGATGAAGGCCCGCCTTGGAGCCGAACGCCACCAGGAAGGAGGCCGGCGCCTGGCCGTAGTCATAGTAGGTCTCGCCGCCGACTCTGACCACGTATCCCCAGCCGTTCTTGCCGCGTGCCCCCTTTGGTGTGGGCAGGTCCGCCGGCAAGAAACCCGCCTTGTGCTTGACCTCGCCCGGTTGGAAGAACGCGTCTGCGTACACCAGGGCCTGCGGGGCGCCGTCGTCGACGAATGGCACAAACCGGGGCCGGATGTTCCTGAGGAGCTGCCGGAGTGCCCGGAGGGCCGCCGCCAACCCCAGCGACAGTTCTGGGGACGACTCCGCCGCCGCGTCGTGGGCTCTGGCGTAGAGCGGCTTCAGCGCCGCCTTGCCGAGGCAGCCGAATGTGGACTGGGACGCGAAGCTAAGCCTGCCCGCCAGCTTCTGCGCCGCGTGTGGCTGAAGGGCATTCGTCTCCAGCGCCGCCTCGATGGCCCGGAGGAGTTTGGCCACCCTGGAGGGGGTAGGCCGCAGGGACACGCCGTCCGCCTCAATCGTCATTTCCACTCCTTGGACCACGTGCCGGGCCGCCGGCTCCTGGGCCTTCGACGGTTTGGTCCAGGAAGAGGTCCGCCAGGGAGTGGAAGGCCGACTCCGCGAGCTCCGGGAGGTCGACGCCGTTGAAGTCGTCCACAAAATGGCCGCCGACCAGCCACAGCAGGACGCGGGTCAGCGCCTGCATCGCATCCGCGGCCCTGTTAAAATTCCAAACCGACGCCGCGGCTCCGAAACACATGGCCAGGTGAAACCAGAGTGTCAGCCCAGCCGGTGTCGCCAGGAACGTGCCGGAGTGGGCCGGGTGCCGGACTGCCCACTGCCGGTAGGCATTGAGCAGGTCGTGCCCGAACAGCCTGGCCGCCGGGACCCCACGATTTCCTGCCAGTTCCACCACGCGCCGGATGAAGTCCACCACGTCGTCCACGAAGTGGTGGGTGGGAACGTCGTGCGCCAGGATCGTGGAATTGTGTCCCGAGCGCCGCCAGTCTTCCCCTCGACGCACCTTGGTGTTCCCCTCGCCGTCCTCCTGCACGATGGCAAAGGACGCCGCGGCAAAGTGGCGGCCCGGGGGCGGCGGTACCAGCCGGTCGGCGCCGGGCGTGTTCAGCACCGCACGGTGACAATGTTCCATCCCGCCGGCGGGGCCGTTGGTCCGACCACCCGGCCAAGCCTGGCCTCCGCCACGAGTTCCGTCAGGAGGGTCTCCCAGCGCTCGCCGGGCTTCGCTGCCGAGGCGCGCTTCCGGACGTACTCCCAGTTGGTCGCCGCCAGCTGGTCCAGGGACACCGGGTTCTGGTAGCGGCCGTCCGTCCGGTCCTTCCAGCCGGGGCCGCGCCGCACCTCGCCGAGCATGTCGAATCCCTGGGTTAGGTCCGCTGTGAGGCCCTCGATGTCGGGATAGCCCACCACGCCGAGGAGTTCCAGCAGGACCGGGATTTGCGTCGGCCGGTCCTTGTCCGCCGTGGCGTAGGTGCTGCGCACCGGAGCCGGGCGCTGGGCCAGCCAGGCCGCCGTCTCCTCCGCGCGGTCCGCCACCATCTCTCTGATCTCCTGCAGCACCTCGCCGCGGATCCTGACCACGTCGTGGCGCCAGGACACGTTCCACCGCCGGCTCCAGGCTGGGCCGCCGGGTGACCGTGCAATGGCTCAGTTGAAGTGCCTGCCGCCGCCACCGTGGTGGTCCTCGGTGCTACTGGCACCGACGCCTCCGCCGGCTGTGCCACAGTAAGGGCCATGAGCATTGCCAAGAGGCGCCGGGCCACTCCCCAGTGCCACCCATTGGCCACCATCCTGTGCGGTCCTGTCTTCTCCGTCGCCGAGGTCCGTGTACCCCCCCGGCATGTGGTGGAGAGCCTCCTTGACGCCGACGGGGATGTTGTGGAGCCGGCCGGCCTCGTCATGTAGCATCGCCTCCTCTGTGTAGTGCCAGGGGGCGAATTGCCGGGAGTCCGCCAGCCACCTGGCTCTCGCCCCTGGCTCTCTTCGGCGCCATGGCAGGAGCAGCCTGCTCGACGCCACTGCCGGGTGAAAGGCCATGCCCACCGGGAGCAGTGTGCTCGCCGCCGCCCTGGCCTCCTCCAGCCGAAGACGATGGAATGGCCCCTTCTTGGTCCAGACCAGGGGGGCGCCGGTGGCCGGGTCCTCCGTGTGCTGCCGGAGGTCCGCCGAGAGCCACCACAGTCTCGGCCGCGAGATCCACCCAAAATCGGAGGCGCACACCAGCGCCGGTTCCACGCCGAGGCAGTCGGACACCTCCTTGGCCGACGCCGACCACATTCTCAAACATGAAGCCGACCCGCCAGCCACGAAGCGCCGCCCTCAGCTCCAGGACGAACTCCGCCGAGCGCAAGAACAGGCTGCCGCGAGTGCCGCTATGGCCAGCCTCTGCGCCGATTTGGGAGAAATCTTGGCAGGGAGACGCCGCGACGAGGAGGATGACACACTCACCGGCCGGGTCCAGGCGCCTGATCTCCGCCGCCACTTTCTCCACCGAGTCCGCGGTGAAGTCGCCCCTCTGCCGGAGCCAGGGCAGGCGGATGGATGTCAAGCGCCGGCAAGTCTTGTCTGTCTCCCACGCCATGGCCACCCACGGTGTACCGAAGAGGTCCTCAAGGATCGCCGGCGCCGCCCCGACGCCGTCAAAGAGGGAGAGCAGGATGTACTTGCTGTTTCGGCGCGCCGGCCTGGCCGGCTTCAACACCACCGCCTGCGCGGCCGGGCTCCGGTCGGGTACCCCACCCGAGGCCGAAGCGCGGGGCGGGGCCCCGTGCTGTCCCTAGCGCCTGTGCTTCTGCGGGCGGTCGCCGTCCTGCGCCTGGGAGTCTCTCTTCCCGCCGCGGTCCTGCCACCACTAAGCCCGCCCACCGCCGATCATCATGCCATTCCTGGCGGCCGCCACCGCCGCCGCGGCTGTCCGAGGCACCCTCGTCGCTGGCGGGGGTTGTTGCGGCGCCGCCGGTTCTTCTTCACCTTCTGCGGCCCGGGCCCGGGCTGGTACCCCTGGTGCGCCGTGGGGCCGTGCGGGCCGTCCGTCTCCGGGTCGGGCGGGTTGAAGCCCTCGCTGACCTTGTTCCTCGCCGGCGGCCGCGGGCGAGAGAGGATGTCCAGGAACGCCGCCTGACCTCCTCGAACGTCCGGCGAAGGCGCATCTGCATTGCCAGGCGCCGGGAGGACGCGTCCCAGTACTCCGTGATCGCCTCGAGCTGGGATGGGCGCTGCCGGGCCTTCGACGTCCACCACTGGGCGTACTCCGCCGCCCCTTTCTCCGTGGCCACGCCGGTGAGGGTCCACGCCCAGCGCACCGCCTCGATGCCGTCGATGACGCCGAGGACCCCCCTCGGGGTCCAGGGGTCCTCCCGGTCATGGCCAGTGCGCCGTCCACCAACCGGATCGCCTGGCCCCTCTCCTTGTGATCGCCAGCGGGTTCACCTCCATGGCCGCCATGAAGGTGCGCCGCTGCAAAATCTCTCCCAAGCCGACCGCCGTGTACTCCTTCGACTTGGTGTGCTCGAAGTACATGCGCGCCAGCACCTCCTCCGCGCCACCTCGTTGTACCGCTTGACCAGCGGCTCCGGGAACGTCTTCGGCGGCTTGTCGCCGGGCAGGGCCGGCACCACCGCTCCAGGGGCAGCCGCCGACGAGGCCGGCGTGGTCACCGGTGCCGGGACCGCGATGTGGGTGGCCCACTGCTTGTGCGCCTCAGCCCACATGTGGTGCAGGATAGCCTCGACGACCGCCTGCTCCGCCTCCGGCGCCTGGTGCACGGTGCCGGCGATCTCCACCCCGTCCAGGAAAGGCCGGACGACGCGGTCCTCAAACTCCGGCCAGGAGTGTGCGATGAGGGCCAGCGTCGCCGTGCGGTTCAGGTTGCGGGCCGCCAGGTAGGCCGTGAGTTGAGGGCCGGCCCCCGGCCGCCGCCAGATCCACGAACGGCGTCATGATGGTCGCCGCCAGTGCGGGCGCGGCCGGGGGCGCCGCAGCTGGGGGAAAGCCCGGAGCCGCCATGACAGCCGCAGCACCGACGAGGGGAGACCTAAGCGGAGGCACGCCGAGGGCGTGCGACGAGGGAGAGCCAGAAAGCTATCGCCGCAGGTAATACACTCAACCGCCAGCAAGGGAGGCACAGCCACAGCCGCTCACAATGCACCGCCTTCGCCGGCTGTTTTCTCACGATGAAGAGCTGTCCGACTCGGACGCCGAGCTGGACGCCACCGGTGAGTCCACCGGCTCGGTCGGTGAACCTTCACCTTCCCCCGGAGCCGGCGCCGGGAAACAGCGGGCGCACCAAGCGGCGGACGCCGGCTTCTCGGACACTCTAAAGAAGCGCCGGATGCCATACGGCCACGCGCCGCACCTGGACCTCCACAGGAACTGCTCCGTGCTAGCTTCCGCCGGGTCAGGGCGGTGCACCTTAGCCCCCTTCTCGTTGTAGATGTGAGGTCTTCCCGCGCCGGCGGGTGTCCACTCCCACCAGGCCCCCTAGGCGGGGCTTCCACCAGCTGAACTGGTGGGGAGAACTCTGCCTGGTCAACCGGCGTCCCCGGTGACGCCTCCTCCGGGATCTGTGGGCTGGGCGCCGCCTCCAGCCGTGGCTCGCCGAGCCTCATCGGTGGCCGACGTGCCGCCGTAGCTCCCAGCCAGGACTCTGCCGGGGATCTCCGGACCCAGCAACTGGATGATCGCCGTCGGCACCCCCTTGGACGCGAGCCAGGCCGCGCCGGCTACCCGCGCCGCGTGGCCGGCGAACAGCTGCACGATCTGGCCCTCGTGGTCGACCGTGGTGAGGGCCACGCCGGCAGCCAGCAGCACCCGCCGGAAGAGCAGGACGGTCTCACCTTTGGCCCAGGTGGCGCCCGCCGCGTCCGGGAACAAGGGCCCGCCTCGGTGCCAGAGGCCCGCCGCTTTCAACGTGGCGCAGTGCAGCATGTGCCGGGCACATCGGCCGGGACTGGATGCCGCAAGCGCAGCGGAGCTGCCGCGCCGTGAGTTCTCTCTCACCACCCTGCGCCGTCTTGTGCAGGGGGATCCGAAGAAGGACCCAGTCCTCGCCGGCTTCAATGTCCTCAGTGCGGGCCGCCGCGAATTCGATTTCCCGCAGCATGAACCACACCGCCAGGAGGAGGGCATCCGCCGAGTGCGCCGCCTTCCATGGGGCCCACGGCTCCGCAGCGGACGCCGGCGAGGGGTCCAGCAGAGGCTCCAGCCGCATCGCCGGGAAGATCGCCTTGAGCTTGGACCCCGCAAGGCCACGTACCACCGCCTTGGCGTAACGCCGGATGGCCCGCCGGACGAGCGGGTCCACCAGCTCGCCGCGGAAGTGTTCCTGGTAGGTCACCGCCGCGTCGAAGTAGTTTTGCGCCGAGCGGTACCTACCCTTCCGCATGCTCGCCGCGACCTTCTCCTGACTGAGTCCAGGGAGATCGGCCACGCCGGCAGGGCCCAGGCCGCCGTAAAGTCCACCCAGGTCCGGACCCTGGACCGGAAGGGTCCCTCAGAGGAGCGCGCCATGATAGCGCCGTCAAGGTCCGCCAACGACTCCGCCTGGAGCTCTGGCAAGGCCGCCTGTAGGGCCGTCCTCTTGCAGGCTCGCCGACCATCGCGCCGCACCGGGATGTCAGCCCTGACCGGCTGCGCCTGGCACGGCTCCGCTCCACCAGGCGCCTGTGGTGGCTCGCCCTGCTCGCCTGGCGGAGGGCCAACCTGCTCTCCGCCGGGCTGGGCGCCGGGGCTCGACGTGAGCTCTCCGGGGCCGGGCGCCACGCCCCCAGCCTAAGGAGCACCTCTTCTGGCACGCCGGCCAGGAGCAGCGCGCCAGTGTTGTCCAAGGCGCCTCGGAGGTCGTGCACCCCCACCGCCGGCAGGATCGGCAGGAACTCTTGAGCCTGGATGTCGACGAAGGCCCGCGCCACCTGCGCGAACCCGCCGCCGGCCGAGAGGTCAACCGCCGACATCCTTGAACCGGGGGGGGGAATCTTGAGCCGCTACGACCTCAACGAACGCGCCACGACGATTAGGGTAAGAGGGGCCGGGCCGGGTGGGCAACAGCACTGCCACTTGCGCCGACTGCACTCCAGTCGCACACCGCCGGGCCGACTTTTCGCGCCAGGCTATGATCCGAGGCTCTTGGGCCTCCCGACCTGCACTTACGGCACGCCGGGAAGCAACGGCAGAAACTAATTAAAGCATCGTGGGCCTGCGGCCGCCGGAGAGGCCCGCGAAGGCATCGCGGCACCGCCGGGACCAAAAAGAAGAAGAAACCGGCTGAGGGCTACGCCAGGAGACCTACCATGCGGGCGATCGCCAGGAAGAGGTAGGGCTCGCCGAGGTCAAAGTAGCCCGCCGGCGGGTGGCACTAGAACCGGCCGTCACGCGTGTTCCGGAAGCGCCGGCACGCATCACAGAGGTGATTGTTGTGCGCCTCCAGGTCCTCCGTGCCGCCACGCCGAATCAGAACCGGTCTGAGGCATCTACCGCCGGGGCTTTGGCAGACGCCTTCAAAGCCGGGGCAGGGCCGGCCACACCAGCCAACGCACCAGATCTCGCCAGCCAGCCGCTCCGGGATGCGACCGCCGCGATGGTTCGGCAGCAGCGAACGGACTATGTAGTCCGCTGCGCCGGGTGCCGTTGGCACAACGGCCGTGGGAGCCCCGCCGGCGCTCCGGACCCGGTCCTCGATCTGCTCGAGGATCTCCACCGTGCCGACGATGGACGCCTGCATCGCCGCGGGGACCGGAACGTCGGAGGTGGCGCCGGGCTGGTTGATGCGCCTGAGGTGCTCCTGCCACTCGACGGAGCAGAGCCGGATGCGGATGTCGACCAAGCGCCGAAACACCTCATCATTACGGCGCCGCTCCAGCTCCGTCGCGCCGCGGCCGGGACGCCTCGGCAGCTCCGGGAACCCCTCGCCAGTGACACTGTTCACGGTGAAGGTCTCGCCGCGAATCTCCATGCGGACGAACCCCTCCAAGATGGGCGCCGGCGTTGCCGCAGGCGGCGCAGCCTGGGACGCCTGGGTGCCCGCCGCGATCTCCGCGGCAATCTGGTTCTGCAGCGCCACCATCTCTGCCGAGTTGGGCGCCGGCACCTTAGCCACTGCAGCCGGCTTCGCCGGCGGGAACGATGTCTTCTTCGCGGGCGCCGGCTGGCTAGCCGACTGGAAGGCTCCCGCCGCGGCCCATGCCCTGTAGAACTCCGCCGAGGAGGTGAAGTTCAGGTCCGCCGCCTGCCTGGCGTCCGCCTCGGAGAGGAAGCCCTCGGAGCGCCAGAGAGCCACCGGAGGGCCCTTGGGCTTGGGCTTGGCCGGGATCGCCGCCACCTGCGGCTGCTGCGGCGCTGCACCCTGGTTCGCCGGCACTGCCGGTGGCTGCTTCCTTGCCGGGGGTAGCGGCCAGGGTGCCGGCTGCGCCTGCGTAGAGGCCGGCGGCTCCGGGCTAGGCTCGGGGATTGGCTGCCCCGCCGAGCTCGCCGCCACATCGTTGGACCCGGACGCTCCACTGCCGCCGGGTCTCCCATCAGTCGAACCAGATGCGCCACCAGCGCCGGGACCATCGGCCGGCGCACTTGCCTTTGGCAATGCCGGGTTTCCGCCTGCTGCTGTCCGGCTCGGTAAGGACGCCTGCAGCATCAAAATCAAGGCACGCCTGGCGCCTGCGGGGAACTGTTGGAGGAAGGGAGCCAAGTCCTCCCCTTCCTCCAACGCCGCAAGGATCACCACGAAGGCCGCCTCGATGTCAGCCGGCGAGTACGACATGGCTCGGCCGGGAGGAGATGCTACAGAACGCCTGGTCACCGAAAAAGCGACGTCGAGCCGGAGCAGCTGCCGGCACGACGAGTCGCTAATGTCCATGCGCACACACGTGTGCTACACTACAACTACTACTACTACTACTACTACAACTACTACTACTACAACTACTACTACTACTACTACTACTACTACTACTACTACCATCACCACCACCACCACCACCACTACTACTACTACTACTACTACTACTACTACTACTACTACTACTACTACTACTACTACTACTACTACTACTACTACTACTTCTACTACTACTACTCGTACTACTACTACTACTACTACTACTACTACTACTACTACTACTACTACTACTACTACTACTACTACTACTACTACTCCTACTGCTACTCTTGCTCCACCCCCACCTCCTCCTGCTGCTGCTACTATACTACCACCACCACCACCACCACGACCACCACGACCACCAGCACCAGCACCAGCACCAGCACTACCACCTACTTCTGCTACTGCTACTCCTAGTGCTCCGTTCCAACGATGCCGGATGCTTGGCAGTCAAATACAGAATACTCAAACATTCGTTTGCACTAGAGCAGATGTCAATGTTCGAACAACGAAAACATTCACAGCAGTCAGAGCTATACCACATCATTGAAGTTATAGTTGAACCTGAACAACTATCACAATACGAACATGCTGCTGTTTCAGCATCATACTCAGCGTGAATTGCACAGTCTCGCAAAGGGGTCGGGAAGGTCGAAGGTTGTTTGTCGGATGCAACACTGCTTGCCAAAGCGATCAGGCCCAGCTGTTTGGCATCGTGTCAAGCTGAGTACATTTACTCTCCAGTACATGGTTTTCAGATCCGTCTAGCCCGGTGTGCCCACATCGAGACATGCTGTCAGCGGAAGATAGAAGAAGCACCACGGGACTCATGTGTTTGGAATTGTTGTCACTCAGCCTTGTTCCCTTGCCCTTTGAATGCCCATGGCTTGCTGGGAGCATACTGGCACGCGAGCGCCGCACGTTGTGTGATCGGAGTCTGCTGTCAACCCCGCCACAACGGAGAACATATGGGCCTCCAGATTCAAGCCACTCAGTCACAAGCCCGTGTGACCGGAACGGACGTACACCCTCACAGCAAAGCTTAAGTTGCACCTTGCACCAGTTCAGAAACCTCGGCTGTTTTCACATCCGATGGATTCCTCCAACACAGCTGCTCAAATTGTCAAAAAGCACA